TGGCTCAGAGACCTACAGTAAGACAGGGGTGGAGCCAGGTGTTAAACACTAAAGAGCCAAATTCTGATATGAAAGTCAAACAAGAATCTGCACAAACTGTCCACCAAGATGTCAGAAAGAAGTCTCTACCTGGAGACAGGACTGGCAGATGAAGGAAAGGATTGCACTTTCAACAAGCAACAAAAAACACAGCAAGCAGCACAATCTGCCAAAACTTCAGTGGTCAAGGATATGAAGAGTGACACAAATTTCTACGAACTCAGGCTAGTCAAGCAGTTTGACTCTCCCCAACCCAGAGGCAGCTCTTAACCAAGCAACAACCTCAGAGGCTGTAAAATGAGATGGGCATACAAGTGGTAAAACCTGCAGTTCCTTGAATGGCCACTTGATGCTGCCTCCAAAAAGGAATCACTCCCAATACGCCTTTGTGTTAAAATGTCCAACTTTACAGCAGAAATTAACATGTTTTGTGGCAATTGCCAGAATGTATTGCATTAAACATCAAGAAAATTAAATGGGGTTTTGTTTTCACTCACCTTCGTGCACCATGAGCACTGTCAACTGGGTATGAGGCCCAGTGTTTTCCTTGCACTCGCAAGGCCGGCCATACCACTTCCAAATATGTAGACTGTTCTGGATGAGAATGGGGCCAAATGCCAACAAAGCCATAATGACAGATTCACTGTGCATTGGAGAAGGCATTTTGGAGAAAGTTAACTGCATTCGTTCCACACCGTTGTCAGCAGCAGCCAGTTACTCGTGGAGGATCACAGAATTCACAAAATCCAGCGCATCGTATATCCCTGGAGAAACCGTGAGTTGGATAAACATCAGCGTTCCTGTTTTGTTTTTCCTCACCGCTTCTTTATGTTACTTTCAGATAGGTTAGGGAATGTAGGGGTTTTTGGGGGGGAGAGATTCTTTCTTTTTGATGAGTGAAATTTTCTTTAAGTAACTTCCTTGTTCTGATTGAGTTGTGGGATCATTGTGAAAACCCCAAGCGGACCATTTTGAGCTGAACCGGGGTACCGTTGTGGAGAACCTATAAAGAAAACCCGAACTGGACTATTTGTGTTTTATCATGAATTAAACAGACGGGAGTGATTTCTGAAAGGTTCTTTGTTTTCTTGCTTTGTTTGATATAGCATTGACAATTCTACGTTGTTTGGTGTTTGTTGATGTATTTATTTTGATTTTTTTTTTTTTTAGTATTGTGTCAACACAGACAGGTTTGGTGTAAAAACACTGATCCTTTGTGGGTTTTGACTTTTGACTGAAGTTAAACTGTTACAGTTTACAGCCTGAAGAAAGAAAGGAGAGAAAAAAACTCTTATGATCTCTATAGCAAATTTCAAAATCCAGAATTAAAGTCATGCATAATCCCTAGTTCACATCCTGTTTAGGATGCCTGGGATCTTTCTGTGTGGAGTTTGGAGTTCTCCCTGTGCAACGTGGGTTCTCTCCGGGTTCTCCGGCTTTCTCCCACAGTCCAAAAACATGCCAAGGTTAATTGGTGATTCTAAATTTTCTATAGGTGTGACTGTGAGTGTGTTTGTTTGTCTCTAAGTGTAGCCCTGTGATCGCCTGGTGACCTGTCCACGGTGTCCCCTGCCTTTGCCCTGAGTCGGCTGGGATAGACTCCAGCCCCCCGCGACCCTAGTGAGGATTAAGGGGTGTATAGATAATGGATGGATGGAACTCATACATAACTGAAGTTCTTAAATAACTGGTCGATCTGCATTCCAACGCTTACTCATGGTCATGAGCTCTGGGCAGTAACCAAAAGAATGAGATCACAGATGCAAGCAGCGNACACTTAGAGACAGACAACCAAGCACACTCACATTCACACCTACGGACAATTTAGAATCACCAAATAACCTCAACATGTTTTTGGACTGTATGGGAGGAAGCCAGAGAACCCAGAGAGAACCCACACACCCACAGAATGTGAGTGTGCTTGTTTGTCTCTAAATGTAGCCCTGTGATAGACTGGTGACCTGTCCACGGTGTCCCCTGCCTTTGCCCTGAGTTGGCTGGGATAGGCTTCAGCCCTAGTGAGGATTAAGCGGTGTATAGATAATGGATGGATGGAACTTATACATAACTGAAGCTCTTAAATAACTGGTCGATCTGCATTCCAACGCTTACTCATGGTCATGAGCTCTGGGTAGTAACCAAGAGAATGAGATCACAGATGCAAGCAGCGATAATTAGTCTTCTTCATAGGGGGTCTGGGTTGACCTTAAAAATAGGATCCAAGCATTCCGCAAGACATCACAGTAGAGTTGCTGCTCCTTCATATCTGGGTATGTTCTAGGGTGGAGAACCCCGGGTGGTCTCAGAACTCACTGGAGGGATCACATATGTCATCTGGCTTGTGTCACCTGTATACTGTGGTGTGCTGGGGGTAGCTGACACCAACAGACTGAACAGACTGATTCGTAAGGCCAGTGACGTTGTGGGAGTGAAGCTGGACTCTCTGACGGAGGTGTCGGAGAGGAGGATGCTGTCCAAGTTGCATGTCACCTTGGACAATGTGTCATACCCACTCCATGGCATGCTGGTCAGCTGCAGGAGTACTTTCAGTACAAGACTGATTTACAGGCTCACTTAACCTCTGATTTCATCAGAGCAGCACAGGAAATCATTGCTGCCTTTGGCCATCTGATTGTCCAACTCTTCACTCTGAGTGAATAGGTTTACATTGGACTTTGGCTTTTTAATAATGTGCAATAACCCAAATGCAGAATGTATATTTATGCAGAATGTATATTTATTTTTTGTATTTAGATATATTTTATTTCATATTAATACTTTTATTTATATTTTTTATTACAAATTTTTACACTTTTAACACTTTTGATTGGGAGCATCTGTAACTGAAAGCAATTTCCCCGAGGGGATCAATGAAATATTTCTGATTCTTATGCCTTGAGATCCCCCAGGAGGACATAGAAAGCGTTTCAGGGGAGATGGATGTCTTGAATAATCTGCTTAGCCTGTTGCCACCACAACCATAAGTGGATTATTGAATGGATGGAAAATTAAGCGTGTGTCTCATGGTCCACTTCAGCTCCACTACTGCTCCAAATCCTTGCTCTTTTTTGGATTAGTGAGGCGTAGCCAGATAGTGCCAAAGCAGTGATGGCCAGAGCCACCACACTGAGCTTCAAAGTGGCTCCAATAGGTGACGTCCATCTATATATGAAATCAGTGCTCACCACCTATAGGATGCAACTGGACTAGTAGTCAAATGAAAGTAAGAAACAACTTTTTTCTTTGTTAAAAAAATAAAATAAAATAAAAAATAAAAATTCTGTTGTCTTGTAGGGACCGGTTACTGGTATACAAGTATATATATATGTACATATAATTTAATAAAATAATTTAATTTTACAAACGTTGAAGTGAGGTAGAGGTTGATTATTTTAATAAATATGTGTTAAGTGAGCCTGTAAAGTCAGAGAAGTTTTCATATATTGGAAGCACTCCAATGTTTTGTCGAGACACCCCCACCCCCTCTAGTGTTGTGAGTGAATGGTACATTCCAGCAGGTAAGGGCGGCTGTGGACTGTAGTGGTACATTCTGGTGACGTCGTTACAAAGCAGCTCACCTGCAGTTGTTTTCGTTTTTGCTATTTCCACAAACAGTGATGTCGCGCAGGTACTTTTGTGTGAGTTGACACGGTAGGCTTGCTTTGTGTGTTTTCCCAGATTCACTGTGGAGAATTTGTGGTTTTGCTGTGCCAGTTTGAACTATTTTTAAGCCCTGTTGTAGTGGAGGAATAAACACACGCACAAAAAAAAACACGCGGCAAATGTGTGCGATGACACAAACACCGACCTCATACTGCACCAACATGTTAAAGGTCCAGACCAAAATGAAAGTAGAACAAAGAAGGAAATCCTGCCAGCTTCAAAGTAAGCAAACACCCTGATTACTACATGGCACAAACATCCAAGGTTACCACAGGAATATCATGTCTGGCAGCTTTTCAAAGTTCACCAAAGATCATCAGCGCTTTCTCTGTCAATGAAGGAACACAAGTGGAAGTGAGTAAAGTATGGCATCATTCTCCTGCTCGTCCCCACGCCTGGAAAGTGAAGTTCCTCTGGACTTTTTCTATTCAAGGCATTGCGGGGAAATTTCACCACGAGATGTCGGTATAAAACTCGCTCACCATCGCAGGATCGACATTCAATCTGGAAGTTATTGACAAGGTAAGATGACTTTTGCTGCTAAGCTGTAGAGTTTTATTTAAAGGGAGGGAAAACAGTAGGATGAGTCAACTAGGATTACAGGTGCAGGTAATAATAAAAAAAAAAAGTGACACCGAGGTATTGTAAAGAAATCATATTGTTAATGAGCTGGTGATGCTTTGATAAGGATGTGTTTAAAATATTAGATGGTATATGTTAGTATGGATGTAATATTTCTGTTTTTTTGTTGTTTTTCTTTAACTTATGTGTATCTTAGTGCTGCAACAATTAATCAATTAGTCGGTTAGTTGTCAACTATTGAATTAAAAGCTTTTGTTAGTGTTTATTTTTATTTTTAAAGTCAATATATTCCTGCTTCCAAAATGTGAATAATTTCTAGTTTACTACTTTACCTTTACTCCTCGGTGACAGTAAGTTTAATATGTTCAATCAAATTGACATTTTACACCATTTTCTGACAATTTATTAACGTGACAGCGAACCGGTTAATCGAGAAATGAATCAACAATGAAAGAAAGTGTTAGTTGCAGCTTTTCTTTAAATTCACTTTTCTTTTTCTTGAGCTAGTTTGATCCTGATGAAAATTTAAAACAAGGTGTTTTTTGGGGATTTCTAAGCTTTAATTATGCGCTGAGTAATCATAACAGCAATTTTGTCGTTTTAAGTGTAGATTTATTGTCTTAAGTTGTTATGCTTCTTTCTGTTTCCCCGCTCATTTTTTCTCTTCATATCACTCTGTCCACCTCATTTTCCCCCGTCCCTGTTTTCTCTTTCAGATGAAACTATTTGTTTTCACCGTTTTCTGCGCATTTCTACACATCAGCTACCAAATTCCAAGGGACCACTGGACTCTGCTGCCAAACAGTATGTTTGATCTTTAAGACGATACACGACGCCAGGTCCAAATCAGTCTTCTTCAACTTCTTTTAATTCCAGTGTGTCTGTGTTCCCCCTTCTAGTTCTGGTTGTGGAGGTGGACGGCGCTTTGGGCCAGCAGCCTCTGAGCTGCATGGAGCTGCCAGAGGAGCTTATGAGGAGAGACAACCAGAGCCAAGATATTTCCTGGAAGAAGAATGGAAACGAGGAAGCGCAGAGAGGAAACACATATCTGGTGCGGCTCGAGGAGAGCCTCGGAGGGGGCAACTACACCTGCCACGGCGAGGACGGATCGCTCCTTAATCACACTGTGGTCCTGATCTCAGAAGACGAGACCAAGAGGAGGAAGATCCTGGTGAAGAACGACCAAGGTACTACTTAGAAACATCACACCGTCACATTAATATAGCTACTTCAACTTGGGGAATTTTAAAGTACTTCCACTGCTAAATCTCCTGGTTTTCTCTCACATTCCTCATTAGAAGATTATTTAAAGTGCTCGGCTCAAAATTACAACGGAGAGTTCCACTGCTCCTGGACCTGGCACAGCAGCCGCGTTGGCAAAGTAGCATTCATCAAAGCTCGACGGTAAGCTCGCAGACTGCTGAAATGTTTTCTGGTTTTCCTCTCCAATAATAACACAGTTTGCGGACTCATGTCGGAGCTGAGACTGCACAGTGACATCCATAAATACCTCCTAATGAAAGGAAGCATAACAAAGTACATTTGCTGTGATTTTGAGGGTCGGGGTCATGTCTTGGGATCGGATTTCTTATAAAAAATATGACTGCAGTAGATGTATTTGATTGATTTATGTTTGTTTTTCATTGTGTTTAGTTTCTTTTTTGAAATACTTCCTTGGAAAAACAACACCGTAACTGCTTTTTTTTTTGCAGTTTCTTGTGTGATCTGTCTGTAAATGCATGTTCTCTCTATTTTACACAGCATTTCTGACAACAACAGCCTCCAGTGTTCCACGGACAGCACCTCCCAGCAGTGGACGTGCTCCTCGGATCACGGTAACTTCAGCTGCACGGTAGATGACAGCGGTCACGGGATCTCCTGCCTGGACGAGCAGCACTGTCCCTACGCTGAGGAGAGCCAGCAGATCCACATCACCATCTATGTCAGGACCGAGCAGTTCCTGGTGGAGAACTACTCGAAGCGTTTTTACCTGTCAGATATAGGTGAGACATCCACAGGGGATATTGTATATTTTCATGACAGTGTCGTCTCTCCTCTTTTTGCTTTCATCTCACTCTGTGTTCTGCGTCCACCCTCGATAGTGAAACCCGACAAGGTGAGGATCGGTATAATCAACAGCACGGTGATTGAGTGGAGTTACCCGAGCTCCTGGAGCAGCCCCTACTCTTACTTCCCCCTCACTTTCCAGATTGCACAGCTCAGGGGCGAATGCAGAGGGTGCAACAACCCGTGCAGTGACTCAAAAGCTGTAAAGGTAAGAGGAACTTGAGAAAGAAATGTCAGAGTCATGATCGAAGGGGTTGTGTCAAGTGACTAGAAATCCCACAAACCTGAGCAAAGGGCAATGTTGCATGACTGCTGTGAATTTCATTTCCAGACGGTCGACTCTGACATCTGCCAGTTTCGAGTGAAGCACAAGGCGAAGGCTGTGTGTGTCAGAGCAAAGGATGCCCTGTGTGACTCACAGTGGAGCGAGTGGAGCCATGTCAGGTTGGTGCCTCTCAGTGGTGTAACGTGGGACTTTTGTTTCCCCTTTGATTCTTACCAGGCGTCCTCAGTGTTTTTTCCCCACATGTTGCCTGTCACATGAGTTTCTTCCTGCCTGCACACGGGAGTGCATACACCTTTGCAGAAGCTGTAATTTACTGCTGGATTGTTTGCTGTTCCTTATAACTGCATTGTTTCTGCTTTCTATACCTCTTCGCCCACATGCCTCGTCTCATTCGTCAGTTTTTGTACATTTTACTGTGAGCTGTGATGCTCAGAAATTCAGTAAACATAAAAAAAAATATCTAATTAATTCAGTTTTGATTTCCATTTCAGGTTGAGAGGAAACAAAAAGAACAAACGGCACGACAAGAATCCGGCATAACGAAAGAAAAAGAATCCCAGCACTGGATTTTTCTAGCAACTTTACATGCTTTTATATATTTCTATTTATTTTATTTAATAACATGGCGTTTGTAATGTGTAATCCGTATTGAAGAGTGAATAAATAAAGTTAAATTGAGCATAATCTTTTTGTTTATTGCGTCTTGTGTATCCTGAATTTATTTGTCACAAAGTCAGTAGCTTCATCCTCAGTCCTGGTGCAGTTTTCTACAGCATCACCTTTTTCGTAACCCTTTCAGCCTCTAATGAGGTTTCAGATGTTCGCTATTGTCTTTTCTGGAGAACAGAAACACTAATAGTTGTTTCTATTTGGCCAACAAACAAGAGGTTCAGGTGATCATGTGGTGTTTCAGTCTTTTCCGTAAGCAGCCAGATGAGAGTGTGGCTTTTGGTGGAAACTTGCCTCCGCGCTCTTGTGACAAATCGCAGAAGCGTCGTTTTATCTGTTGCCCCTTCACTGGAAGCAGATATGGCACATGTGGTATTTCCTCCGCTAAGTGCCAAGAGAAACACTGTGTTGCGTTTTTCCTTCCATGTCTCTCGTGCTCTCACTGCCCTCCTCTTGGATGCAGCTACAGATCTGTCAGATGTTGAGACAAATTGTCCAGCATCTACTTCACACTATATAAAAAAGCAAACATTTGGACTGTTAACAGCTCTTAATATTACATTGAATCAGCTGACAAACAGTAACCTAATCGAACGGACTATCCAGAATCCGTTGACCTGCCTACGGTTATTTAAAAACTGACCTCAGACAAAGTTCCTCAATGTGCCATCTTCTCGACATCCTAAGAGGAAGCACACGTACAGTATATTGGTAGTTTGGTGTTAAAACAGGCCAGTGACCTTTAAGCAACAGACAGGCTGATGTGCTTGCAGTTACATTACACAAGTATCAGTGTTACTCGGTGATTTTAGTGGTTTATAGCTTACTATAAGTGTGATCAGTGCAGCAGATGTGAAAGCATTATTCATCATGGTCCTGAACTCTTTTTGATCTAAGTTGTGAAACTTACCTACCATCTTGGTAATGCCCCTGGATAGTTATTTTAGGCTACCAAGAGCAGGCTGCTATCTAAATGAATGGGAAAACAAGAGCAATTACTGTAAATTAAATGCTCACCGGGAAAGAAAAACTGCATGGACAGGAACACCAATGAAATCTGAAAATAATCTGCTTAAACAGGTAGCTGTTTCTGGACTAAAATAAGGTTTAAAAAGCTTTTTTCCCCCTCACAGATTATTCAAATACTTAAGTAAGTAAATTAATCTCATTTATCTTTCTGCTTTGATCCATTAACTGGTATTCTAGTTCCCTGAAAATGCAAAATATATGTTTACTGCTCCTTGACATTGACGTTTCTTCAGTTTACTTCCAGTAGTATTACACAATAAAGACCCTAAATAAACAGCTATTCTAGTAACAAGATTTTACATTTAACTTTAGGGTAAAACGAATCATATCATGAAGTTGGATGAATAGAAGAGTTCCATCCATCCATTATCTATACACCGCTTAATCCTCACTAGGGTCGCGGGGGGGCTGGATTCTATCCCAGCTGACTTAGAGACATGAATAGAAGAGTTGAATTTCCTTAAAATTACAGCAGTACAAACTGTCCATTTGAGACTAATGAAATAATTTGTGTACATCTAACTTAAGGTAGTGACACTGACTTTACTTGTTAGCTTAATTCAAGTGTGTGTTATCAATTATAACAAATCATATCTATTGATTCAACTTTTTTTTTCAGTGTAGATTTCTATTCAGGATTCTCAAACCTATGCTTTGTAACGTCTTTACCTGTGAACCTGAAAATGAAGGAATGTTAATTTCGATGTGAGTCTCAGAAAAGGAAGCAAATACAGAGCAGATTTATAATATAAAAGTGTTGAATAAATGCTTCTGTAGTTTAGCTATATGGGAAATGTTTAGTATTTACCAACAATTATAACTTCTTAGTGAAGACAGATTTCATATTATTACAACAGCTTTCAGTCATGGGTGTCCACGGAAGTAGATGTTTGTTGTCAAATGCAATACAATAATACAAACAAATATATATAGTTACATTAATCGTTTCGCAAGCTTTTAATTAAAGGTGTATATACTGAAAATAAACTGTAAACTAAAATTGTAGGACTTAAATTAACTAGGGTAGCTGTTTTTTTAATTCTGAAACTTATGTTAGCATATGTTTAGAGAATGTTAATTCAGTTCTGTTCTATTAAATTCTTTATTTTGAACATATATTTTTTTTAAAAATAGAGAAAGAAAATAAAAATATATAGAGAATAAAAAGACTTCATGTGAGTGACAGACAGAATACATACATATATACATACATACCCATATCTATACATACACACATATACATTATAAGTTATATATTTCTGTTGGGAAAACAATGTGTTGTTTTGTCTCAGATAATTCCAGATGTTGATGTTAAATCCCCCGTAGATTGTGGAAAACCTAATCAAACCATAGCCGTGTGTGTGAATGGCTTTGTGCACGTATTGAAACAGAAAAGGTACGTGAAGTACTGAAATCCCAGCGTCATTGTTAACAAAATGCACACACAGATGCATTTCATACCAAATTTCCACGTCACATGTATGAAAAACCCAAACAAACTGCATCACACCTACAGAATAACAAGCTATTATTTATTCGCACTGGGCCGTAACGCGGTCGGTCAGGAGGTTGTGGTGAACGTTCTTTTCACTTCCCTGTTATGAAAAGCAGAAGAGGTGAAGTGATGGAAGCACTTTCGGGACAGACTTTTGAAAAAGGTTAAACCAGATCCATGACATTTCGATTTTTCACTCGTTTGGGAAATGTTGCTAATTGTATCTTTTGATTTCCCCTCTTGCATGTAAAGTAAAAGTAAAATCATCTACGTAACTGTGTGATAATACGAAAAGAGAAATTTCTAACATTGCATTTTGTGACTCAACATGTTGGTCTGCTTGTTCAAATAACGTTATGTGGTCAGTGTAAGATCATTTATTTAATAAATGTCGAGGTTTCATTTTAATTTGTTAGTTTACGTTCTCAGAAAATTATGAAAAATGCTTAAACTGGCATATTTAAGATTAACAAAGAAACCAATTCTTTATTTATTTGTGTCAGGATTCATCAGATTCATCAAAAACAGGACAAGTGTTTGTGCTTTTTTTAAATAACTATTCATGGACTAGTTATCTTAACATTAGCTCCCAGCTAGTTTAATCAAATCCCTTTAATTTGAAAAGAACTTTCTGAGTCTAGCATTGATTTGGACATCAGTCTCACATAACCAACATGTTTCACTAAAACCTGTATCTGCAGGTGAAAGTGTAGAAATGAAATCACTTTGTATTATTGGCAGCTGTCAGTATTCAACATATTTAGACGTCATTTTGCCTATAAACTAGTGACATTCTTGGTCTTAAAGGAGTCACTTTCTTACCCAGACTCCTCTTGTTGACCTGATTGGTCAAACAACCGTTTCTGATCGGGGTCAGGTCAGTTAGTCGTATGTTGAGATCTCACTTTAATTTGTCAAAATCAGCTGCAACCCATTTCCCTCCATTGTTCATTAGTCTGGTGCGCTATTTTCTTGATTAATGGATAAAATATTTAGTCTTTAAATTGTCAGAATATTGTGGAAAAACACCCACTCTGATGTCCTAAAGCTCAAGGTGACATTGAAACTGATTAATTGAGTTTAAAAAACAGGAGCCATCAAAGATTGGCTTTTTCTTTTTTTTTTCCTTAACTTGAATCATTGCTCAAACTATTTATAGACGTGTTTACAGTATATTCATTTCGATCATTAAAAAAAAAAGACTTCTATGAGCAATTACAAAAATCTGTCACGATAATCATGACCGTGTTTGCGGTCTCACCACGATGATGTTTGCATCGTGTCACACGTGACTATTGTGTACCAAGGGTGGGATGGCAAAGTGAGACTACACACAGACATCCACAGGAACAACTCTGTCTCTGATTAATGTGTAGACATGAAATCACTTGTGTTGTTCACAGCTGTCAGTATTTCAGTTTCATTGTGACTGTGGACCAGTGACATTTTTGATTCTGATGGTGTCAGTTTCTAACTCGGACTCCTCTTGTTGACCTGCTTGTTCAAATGACAGTTTGTGTTCATTTAGTTGTATGTTAAGACCTCATTTTAATTTGTTAAAAAATAAACAGCCAACTTTTTCCCCTATTGTCCGTTAATCTGTGCACTATTTTGTCGATTAATGGATTTAATGTTTTGTTCTATAAATTGTCAGAAAATCATGAAACACACCTGCTCCAGCAAACAATTGTTTTTTTTAAAACTTGAAATATTGCGGAAATTCTTTGTGGACTGTTTTTCCAAAGTATAGTTTGCAGTATGTTTAATCTGATCATTTTAATTTAAAAAATTAAACACGATATCTCCCATAGGCATTTACAACAACCCATTACAATGATCATGACCTTGTGTCTACACTCATCACAGTGATGTGTGTGACTACTATCAGCTACAGAATGGTCTGACTACACATGACCACCATGGTTTCACAGGAACAACACATTAGTAATTGGTGTAGGGAAAAAGGATGGAAGCAAAAATCAGTGTGTATTTTTCACAGCTGTCAGTATGCAGCGTATTTTGAGTTCATTTTGGCTTCAGACCAGCGACATTCTTCTTCCTGATGGTGTCAGTTTCGAACGTGGACGCCCAACTAGAAGTAATCTTCAAAAGCAGTTTTCCACTATTGACATTCCTTTAAATTTGGTCACAGTTTACAGAATGGTGCCACCTGTCAGAAGACTTCTTGACGCTGTGATACCCACTGCATGGCCGACTGATGGAGGGGAAATCATTCAACATTCTGGCTGCTGTAAGTATGCTCACCCAGTTTTTGACTCATTTCCCTGAGCATTAATGAATTCCTAAAGATCCATTCTGATGCTCTTTTTCTCTTTAACAGTTACAAACACAAGACTAGTTACACACATACTATATAGACAATGTGCAAAGAAATAAAAACTATAAAGACTCAAGCTTTTATAAGCAAAATGAGGAAAGATCATCTGATGAGTTTTTATGATTGTGCAAACGTGGTTAGAACAAGAAAAGTAAGTTATTATTTAGTTCAGTAAAAAGGGATCAGTAGTGAATAATTTGATTTCAGTCAAACATTCTAAGCATTCTCTTGCTCCACAGCTTAGTACTGATATATTTTATTAACTGTATATGGTATAATGAGTTTTGGAGTGTTCCTCAGATGTCACAAGCAGTTTGAAACGTGGAATCTGTAAAACTATAACAGCTGTTCAGTGTTTTCTGATGATTATTAAATGGTTTAAGAAAGCAACTGATATATTAATCAGTGATGAAAGTAACTTCTTATTGGGAGTGATTAGATCACCAGTTCACACACATACACACACACACACACACACACACTCACACACACACACACACACACACAGATAGGAATACATCCCTTTTAGAAAGCATAACTTGAAAATTTGAGCCGCGTGTTAACAGCATGTTTAACATAATATATGGAAAAACCTTGTTCCTTGCGAAATGAATCCTTTCACTAAACTGTTTCTCTTTTCAAAATTCAATAAGGGGAGTTACCATCTGCTTGTTGGGGTATTATGTGGCAAATTATCCCCATGAGAACTGACAATATATACTCATTGCTAACCTGCAAACTCATCTCAATCCATAGATGTGCAGTGATTGAAAACAAAAACAAGGAAATCCAGAAATTTTGTAAGACTGGTAAATCCCCCTTTAGACAACAACAGATTTAAAGCGCGTTACAACGTCTGATGCTTTTTGTTTTGTTTTTGCGGGTTCAAACTGAATCCACGTGGTTTAATGTTATCTAGTTGGTAAAGTGTTTACCTTCTCGTGTCGCCTACACGATCGATTACATTCACAGCTTGTTCTCTTGAAGCCACAGTCTCTCTGACCTTGTCCCCATTTGCTGACCATGTTAATTAATGGGCACAGAAGTGGCCATTTGGACAGATGGCATTTATCTGCATGCTACTTACTATGCAAGTGCCACATTTGAGAATGCAACTGACTTTCTGTGGCTGGAAGATGTTGTAGATTTAGTCGTGTAATGTCTTCTTAGTGCCGCTAGATGGCAACGTTGCACCTGCTACGTGTGCGTTTCAGAGGTCTTGACCTGCAGTAAGAAATCGGATTGGGGGGGGGGATGGAAAAATGTGTTGCCTAAAGGAGTTTTTAAAAAAATGCAAATCACTTGTCATTCATCACAATAACATTTGTCATTTTTAATCCCTAATTGCAACTTTAACTTTGCCAACATAAAAGCCTCCTTTTTTTTTTCTTTATCCCTCTTTCAGTGTAGAAATATTTCATCCTGATATTGAGGAAGTTCAAGCCTGCTCTACATATTTAAATGATAAACATCTCTATTTGTCTCCTTTTATGTCGACTAGAGAGCATATTGTTAGACATAAGGCCCATTCTCGAAAGCATATGCCAGATTTTTTTTTTTTTTTACAACTAGTGATTTTTTTATGAGTCTTCAATTCAATCAGGCCATTATTATCATCAGCCCAACCTTTTGATTTACGAGAACATCTGGTAGTTTGCGCAGGAGGCGGACGGCAGCGCCTACAACTCCTTTTTCTCATCACTTACTTCAAAATGTCTAATAGAGTTATAACGCGGGGGAATTTTAATAGCCCTCCCATATGTGGACACTTGAACACGAGTCATATAAATACACAGACGCACCTTTGCGTGGTTTAAATGGCGTGCGCATTCCCGCCTGTGCGTAATGATCGGAGAGATTTCGCAAACCTTGTGTCTGGAGTGCCATGGAGTTACCAAATCGCAGTATTAACATGGTTGGATCATCCAAGGGCCTCCCCCCACCCCCCCACACACACAACTGACGTCTCTGTTTTTGGATACTTAGACGGTGATATTTGGGCTAACAGTGTGTGTTGGTGCTCGGGGATATAAATATATGCCACCCCAGAGGCCTCCAGTGTTCGCGCTGGCCCCTGCATGCCGACCAAGGCAGACAGATCATGGCGAGAGAGCCGGCCGCAATCAAACAAATGTGCTGAAGGATAGCTCCGAGCGTGTGTGTGTGTGTGTGTGTGTGTGCGTAAAACCGAGGCTGCGAGAGACATTTTATCTCACGTTGCTTTTATTTATCACTATTTATTGTATCGTGTACTCACGTGGTGGGCTGCTCACATTTCTCCTCCCACAGCAGGAGACATAAATAAACAGCTATAGACAATGATGAGATGATTGCTGGTGGTTTGGTGTCGGACCTTGACCATTTATGGCATTTATATCCAACTCTGGCACAGTTTGCTTTGTGCGCAATATGGGAATATGTATGTCACTTGAAAAAAAAGAGAGAAAGAAGTGGTGTTAAAATGAAAGTAAAACTCGTTCTAGATTGTTCGAATTGCAGAAATAATTTCAGTAATGACCTTTTTCTCGCTGCGATCACGTGTCAATTCATTTCATTTCAACAAATTGCTGATAAAATCTTAATTTTTAAAGATAGCCTTCTGATAAAGAAGACTCTCCCCCCCTTCATTCAATTTCATTATAATTAACCAAACAGTACTTATTGAGCAGATGCCCCCCGGACAATTCAATTTGACAATTTAGAGATGACTCTTAATGATCAGGGGGGGAGAGAAAACCAGGATTGATGAGAAACAGGAGGGAGAGCTCGTCACTTTCTGCAAAACTGGATTAGGCTGCACAGTTTTCATGCTTGTGAGCCCACTTGTGCAGTTTCACGCCTCTGTGAGCAGCCATGCAAATATTTATTTCTTTTTTTGTTGCACTTTTTTTTTTTTTCTTGTTTGTTTGTTTGAGAGCAGTTTTATTTCTGAGTGATTGCACATTTTTTTTTGGACAGCGGGACGCAGCACAGTTTAGCTGTAATCCTCATATTTATGTTGGATTCAGCACTTAGTCCCGCAAGATTTATGTAATGCATCTAATCAAAGCTAATTTCAAACCACCGGGCTGTAACAGAAAAATGTGCGCAGCGCCTGCCAGGCTTTTTGGGGGGGAGCTGAAACTTTCTTAAGCTCATAATCTGCCAGAGTTGATACTCTGAAAAACAACACTTGGACTGCTCAGCACAGTTTATTCAGTTGTTATGAGAAAACACAGCAGTGAAATTTCATTTTAAATGTTTGAATAAAGTCGTGTTTTTCTCCCTTTCTCCAAAAGACACGCGCATACATAATATGAACAATTAAAAATAAGGCTTGTGGTTGTTCATGTTGAATTAATCTGACACATATACACACTAGTAAACACAATTAAATCTGTACACAAGTGCTGCAACTGTTCCTCAAATCGCTCCCTCTCAGTGCGCTCTTGCGCATTTTTTGTCACGTACTAATGAGACGAAATCAATTTGATCTGATGCTCGTTTACAACATCTGATCGGATTCTGTTTCAGCTTGTTTTGCAGACACATGCGGACACATTTTCATGCCTGCAGCTCGAGTGACAGCGCGGTAAACAGACGATAGATGTTACAACCACCCCGGGTCTCCTCCTCATCGCTGCCCTTTTAGTCTCGGTGCGCAAACTGCTTGGATTAAACTAATGTCCTCCCCGGAGTTGTTGTCTGATTGTCGTGAATATATTATTTGTCAACTCTATACGGGGTGCGCACACACACGGATTGGCACACACACGCCGTGCACAGCTTCTGGCTAAGTGGCTGGGGCGGGACACTGCGTGGGACGAGGCGGGGACAGCAGGCAGGCGGGCGGGCAGCGTGCTGGTCGGGTTGGTGGACAGCTGATTGTCCGTGTTATTAACTGTGTTCGAGGGCGTTCCCTGCTCGCCTCGCAGGCCACGCCTCCCTCACCTACTAGTTCTCTCCTGTTTGGCATCCCAGAGATGGTCCAAAGTGATTCCTCAGGGAAGAAAAGAGCGCAAATCACCCGAGCAGGAGCTGACGAGGAGCCGAGCCGCCGCTACACCCAAGGACTGCCTCTTAATTGCGCGTAATCTTCCGTTTCATTCATCTCGAACAGAGGAGAAGACTTTGTAAATCAAGGAGCGCAGCGAAGGAAGGTGTTTCATCTCGGGCTTTTTTTTTTTTCTTCCTCTCTCACTGTGGACTGTTTGTTGCGAAAAAAAACCTGACATTTTGCTTGTGTTTCTGTCAGCTGCACCTTGATCCGGGAGACCGTCGCCAACTCAGTGCAGCCTCTCATCCTGCGCTTCCCCTTTCATCGTTCTTTTGCGTTGCTCATCTTCATAGCTGCTGCTGCCGCTGCTGCTGCTGCTTTTCCCCCCTTCGTCTTTCTATATTTTTTTTTCCTTTCTGGAGTCGCTGACATGAGGTTGCAGCTAACCCCTGGATGCTGACAGCTCCCCCTTTTCCTTCCACGTGTCGCATCTTTTGTTTACTTTGAGAAACACGCGTGCAACTAAACGCCAAGTGAAACAGACCACGCCACTTTGCTCCTCTGACAGCGCGATCAAACAGACGCAAGAGGAGGGGAGGCAAGGGGAGAGAGGGAGAAGAGAGAGAGAGAGAGAGAGAGAAAAGGAGGGAGCCACGGAGAGGAGGATAGAGAGAGAGAGCGAGAGAGAGAGAGAGAGAGAGAGATAGAGACGGCGTGAAGGTGCGTTTTGATGTTTGGCATCCACGAGAGCATCCAGAGGAGTGGGAGTAGTATGAAAGAAGAGCCCATGGTGGCCGGGATGAACGCGGTTCGGACATGGATGCAGGGCGCCGGAGTGCTGGACGCCAACACAGCCGCCCAGAGGTGAGCCCGAGGCGGCCTTGGCGCTGCGCTTCACATCGGGGCGTGGAGAAGCGAGTAAAAGGGGGGAGAAAGCGCATTAAGATCTGCGGTGTTAAAGACGGAGCCGGCTGCATCACTTGGGGCAGCGTGCGTCCCCAGAGGACGTATAGTTGTGGGATAATCACTGTTCCCGCTGGCATTATAAGTTTTGTTTTTTTAGCTCCAAGTCCGACTTGGTAAAACACTTCATGTGGCTCAAAGTGGTTTAACAGATTTCTGGAGGGGGGGAAATCACAGCTAACCCAGAGAATCGGGTTTTAATGCTGCCTTAGAATAACTTTGGTCTGAAAAGTGAGCTGAGAGTTTATGTTTAGGCTCCTCGGCTCACTTCGGTGGTTTGTTTCTCTTCTTTTTTTTTGTTGGAGGGGTTGTGGTGAAGCTGAGCAGGTTACTTTTCAAACTCTGCATGCATGAGTAATTTTTTTTTCATGCAGACTTTCTTGCAAAATGAAATAAAAATATTTAGTTTTAATCAAGTTGGACAAGTTTAGAATGAAAATAACTCCACCATGAGAGACTGCAGGCCTCCATGAGAGCAGCTGACCTGCACAAATTAATATGAGGAAAAAGCACATTTAAATATTTTTAGCTGCAGCTGAATATTACATGAATTAAAATGTAAAGTGCGCCTGTGTAATTATTATTTGTTTTAATTAAATCCCCACGCATTTAGGAGGCTACACGTTTTGAGAATGGGACACAAAATTTGAGACATTTTAAAAGCAGCTTGTGTTTGTGTGGATGCATGTGTTTTAACCGCGGTGGTTGCGGGCGCTGCTTGCTGTGTGTGTGCTTGTGTCCGCAGCGGAGTGGGTCTCGCTCGGGCTCACTTCGAGAAGCAGCCGCCCTCCAACCTGCGCAAGTCCAACTTCTTCCACTTCGTCCTGGCTTTATACGACAGACAGGGGCAGCCGGTGGAAATAGAGAGAACCACGTTCGTTGACTTTGTAGAGAAGGAAAAGGTGAGTTGTGGAAATTTCACTAAATATTATTACTTTTTTAAAATTATTATTATTATTATTACATGTCAGTTTTTTTTTATTATTTAATAAATTCCAAATATGTATTTCAGCGCAGCGTGCACTGGTGTCTGACACAGTACCGTGGCCTGTTAAGTCAAAGTGATAAATTACCAGACGTGTGTTAACCAAGTAGCCAGACGCACACAGCAGGGATCATTGGTCCTACAGGCTTCCCTCTTGTAATTTTTTAAGATGTGGTTTCCTGAAAGACTTACGCTCTTCAAATAATTATTATTACGACCACCATAATAATTATTATTACTGCAGAATTGCCTGTATGATTTTTACGCAAATTCCCCATCACTGCCAACTTTTATCCTCCCTCGCCGCTGCTGATATTGACTCATATTTTTCCTGACAGCTCAGCACAGCGTGCAGCCTGCTCCTGCAGGTGTTGTCAGTCGAGATATTTTCTGTTTTAAACAAACATCAATATTAGCGTTTGATAGGCCTGGGATCGATCATGTATGGGGCTGATATTGAGCTGTTTTCAAGTGGCGTTAAAAGAGAATGTTTTACTTATAAATGTGTGTTTTATTAATTAGAATTTACTATCGGCTTGTTTATTATTTATTACATCCAAATGCCTCTCTGCTATTGGTCAGTTAAACGCGTTTAATATTGCGCAGTGATTTACTAGAGAGAGGCAGTAAATATGTGAAGTTGTTGTAATTTTTAAAAATGTGTTAAACGTCTACATTTAAAGAGTTTCCATCCCCAGTGTGAGGTGATAAAGTTGTGAACATTTTTGGCAATTTGTTTCTTAAATATCAAAGTATTCAGAGGCTACTAGATTTTTTTTAAAACCCAAAATCGAGCAATTAAATCAGTTTCTAACTTTATAAAATAAAATTTTTAAAAAGTTATTTTCTTTTCTTTCGCCAGAAAACGAAGTGCAGTGATTTTGAATGAGATCCCAGAGCGAGGGAGACGTAACATGTTTGTAATCTAAAAATATCAAGTTGTGGAGCCGCAGTAAAAGTCCCAGGAGGAGGTGGTTTGCTCGCTCTGACCGGGTGTGTTTGGTTTAATTTTCATAGGAAACGACGGGGGAAAAGACCAACAATGGGATCCATTATAGACTTCAGCTGCTCTACAGTAACGGTGAGTTTGGATTCCATAATTTTTATGGAGCAATAACAAACGCAGGGAGTGAATGATACGCCAAAGCAAAGTGAGGAAACTCTGGAAATAAATGCTACAGGAGGTCAGGCGGTTGATTTTCATTGTAAAGGGGCATAATGGTGTTTTGTTCTATTTATTTAAATGATTTACGGTGAAATATCAGCGCTGGGTCTTAGTTATAAATTGCTTTATGAAGCGTTCTTCAGACTTTCAAAACTAAAAACTTTCAAGAACATAATTAATTTAAATTAGTGGGCCTGTTTTATTTGTTGGTCTTGCTGTGCGTCCTCCAGTAAATATACTGTCTTTCTGCTCGGCCTACTTTCAGTGCAGCAATAAACAACACCAAGCAGCTAAAAAAAAAAAAAAGGCTTTTTAACGATTATTTTTTTGCTGCCTCGATTGAATAATTAGGTTATATTTGTTATAATGTAGAATAAAACGTGTGTTTCTTCCTGCTGTGCTCGTTTTCACCATTAATAAATGTTTATGGGGGTAAAATCAACAGTTTCATGGCAGTAAATTACATTTTCAAGCACACTGACAGCATGCCACAGAAAAAACTGAAAGTCATTATTAACAGTTTGGACTCATAGTTTCCATGAAGTGCCTCACAGGGGAAATCAGAATGAATAAAAGTTGGGATCCGAAAGCTGGGTAAAGCTTAAAAGTATGAAAGCTGCAAATTCTATTTTAACATCTCTGTCCTCTGCAGGGATCAGGACGGAGCAGGACCTGTATGTTCGTCTCATTGACTCTATGACTAAACAGGTAAGAGGTTCTGCGTTAAACAAAACAACCCAAAAAGGCTCCTAAAATGTGCATCAGTTCCATGGTGGTGTTGGTCTGAGTGTTGCCCCCCCACCTCCCTCCCCCTCCTCATCCCCCACCCTGGCCCTGCTGCATGCCTGTGTCTGAGACCCTCAACTTCAGCACAGCACAGCCGGCTTGATAAACGACCTGTCTTACCTGTGGAATACATTTACAGAGGCCCAGAAAAGTAGAGGACATGTGTCCTCATACTCTACCTCTGCACAGCCAGCCAGTAAGTGGGGACGGTGTGTGTATGTGTGTGTGTGTTTTATATCAGGCTGTATATACGCGTGCTCGTCATTGTGCGCATATAGTGTGCGAATATGTCGCTGAGGTGCAGAGGCAGTTGTGTGTTAGTGTTTGAGAGAGACAGTGATGCATGCCAGCTCACTCTTTGAGGACCTTGACCCTCATTTCCTCAATGTGAAACAGAACAAACTATCCCAGAGTGTGTTATGGCCAATTCAATCACACAAAGAAATACAGAGCAGCACATGTGGGCTGGCGCACACTGAGGGAATTCTCCGTTAGGATGAATTAGACAGCGAAGAAAGTAAAGCCCCCTTCAACGCTGTTTTGATATCAGGTCTTTTGTTTTGCCAAATCCGCCTCTAGTGCCATTAGGCTTGAAGAGAGTTTGCCTTAGAATGAAAAGAGTAGGAGGAGATGTTGTTTGTGCGAGAGCGTGTGTGTTTGCATGTTTATCAGTGTGTGTGTGTGTGTGTGTGTGTGTGTGCCGGGTGATCACAGCCCTGGAGAGCATGTTGAGTGGGGTTGGAGGGGTAACCAGACTAGATTTTTGGACGCTGTGCTGTATGGACCAGATGGTGCACTATACTCCAGTCTGGCAGTCCAACTGCTCACTGTACACCGCATATAAACATACGTGCATGCACAAACACATATGCACATGCAGTCGTACACACGCATACACACACACACACACATGCACACAGGCGGGCACACACACACACACACACACATGAATTTCCCTCTTACTGTCTCTGTCAGAACAGAGCGTTCCTGTTCAGGAGGACTGGATTCCCACGATACACACATTTGCCAGATAGGCAAACACTACTCCCAGATGAAAGACACACACACACATTTCTGTTTTTTATTTTGCCCCTGCATTGTGGTTGAATTTTGTTTTCTTTCAGCCAAGCACTCTTAAAAATATAAATCACTGTCCTTATAATTTTCTTTGATTTTTTTTTTTCCTTTTCGCTCTCTTTAGGCGATTGTCTACGAGGGCCAGGATAAAAATCCAGAGATGTGTCGGGTCCTGTTGACCCATGAGATCATGTGCAGGTACGACAAACCACACCGGGACAACATCTCTCTTTTTATTACCTGGCCGATGTTATACAGCCGAGATCAAGATGAATGTTTTTCTCACTTTGGAGGTGTCTGCGTGGGTGTGAAGAGGGGGCAAAGACGTGAGCAGCGCTGCTAAATTACAATGGAAATCTTATCATTTTCCCTTAAAGTGGGTTGGGGAGATGGGCCCTGGCCTATTTCTGTTGTGCGTCTCTGTGTATATGTGTGTGTGCGCATCCCTCTCATGTTCAGCTAATTAGGACAAGGAAAAGCTCATTACTCAAACCCATCCTCCTCAGTCTGTGTAATACATGCAGTTTGCTGTGTCCTGACAGTGAGCTATGTGCAGAGGGGGGCAGACTCGAATTACACATAAAATACAGACACGCTCGCGCTCACTCAAAAGTAGTAAGCAGGCGAAACTCTCGCAAGCCTCGTCGCGTGCATTTACAATCAATAAAAGCATCACACAGCGTGGGACCGTCTCTCACAAGCCAGTCATCCAGAAGTACATGCGGAGTTGCATGTAGAAAAATGGCTAGTGGCAAAGCGTAGCCACTTCCTGGTTATCACACAAGGCAATTTAGACCACTTGTTTTCATATGCTGCAGGAAACGGTCGAGATCAGAAATCTGATCTGGCTCTCCAAGCCTCTTGTCCTGAGGGACTCGAGAAAGTAGGGGGAGGGTCAATCTCTCCCTCGCTCTCTCTCCCCCCTTTTCTCCCCCCCCTCGCTTTCTCCATCTTCTCCCGCACACATACAGTAGATGCACACATGCAGTCAGACACAGGTACACACAGACATGCAGACGAGCAGACAGAGAGGGAAAAGGTAGACGCGGTGATACTTTTTTTGGGGGGGGAGGAGGAGGAAGAAAGAGGGTGGGGGGCTGACGGCACACAACACACTGTTACATTGTGCTGCAGTCAAATGATTCAGAAAGGACTCGTCACATCAGTATGCAACCCCCTTCTACCCAGCATGCACTACTCCCCAGGTCCAGTGGGACCACTCTGTGACCCACTTCTGAGGGAGAGAAAGAGCGAGAGAGAGAGGCGGGATAGAGGGAGGGGACGAGCACTGAGGAAAAATAGAGAACATAAGATGTCTGGTTGTGTGATGCCTGACAGAAATGGAGCTAACCTGAGCCCTGGAGGCTAATTCAAGTTTTTTTATCCAGCCCCATTCAAGCTCGGTGCTTTAACTCTTCTCCTCCAAACTTTGCCTAAAATCGCCTTACTGATCTCACCTACTGTAGCGCCAGAGCCCCGGTCTTACCTTGACAGGCTAAAACAGAAAATCCAACTCATGCTTGTGCTTGAACTCTGCAAAAGTCTCACGCCCTTTTACTCCTGTTTCTCTTTCCTCCGCGCTCATCTGACTTCCTGAGCTGGGCCTTATCTTGCTCTCTGTGTTGTTCACATTTTGGTGACTAACTCTCCCCTTTGTCTCTGCCTCCCCTCATTTTTCTCACCCCCACCCTTTCAGTCGATGCTGCGATAAGAAGAGTTGCGGCAACAGGAACGAGACCCCGTCAGACCCTGTCATCATCGACAGGTAAGCAAACTTCGCCCTTCGACCTCGGCCGACGTGATGCTGCACAGTCATGACAAACGGCGCACACGTGACAGTGCGCCACACACAGCGGCAGCAAACGTTGCAGAAGCATTTCACAGATATGAAAAAAAAAATCACGACAAAACGTCACTTAAATTTCCAGTGAAGTAAGCGCATGAAAGCAATTTTTCGACATGCGATTCGGCTGAGAAAACGTAACCTGCGGGCCTAATAAAGCAGGCCACAGGTTGGTTTTCAGCAACCGTAATTGTGTGTGTAAGCAAAATGTGTGAAACAGCAGTAAATTATATTCCAGTGGTGTGTGTGTGAAGTGGAGGAGCAATCATAGAGCAGTTGAGCTCAGCTTCAAGTGTGGTCGAACAGTGTTTGTGTGGTTGTGCTGATGACTTAGCTGATGAGTAGTTAGGGTTACAGCAACAGTCTGGCGAGTGTGTTTTTGTGTATAAATCTTCACGGGTGTGGTACCAAAAGGTTGTTAGCCGCGTTTGACACTCACACACACTTTTCTTTGAGTGTACGCCTTTCCCCTGCCGTCATAAACCACCTCTGACCGACGCTGCAGCTCCCGCGATTTACAGTCGGCCAGAAAAAAAAGCAAAGTCGCGTAGATTTACAGTCCTGCCTCTGCTGCACGCGTGTGTGTGGACATGCAAGCGTGAGAGGAAGTATTTGTTTAGAGGAGTTCTTCAAGCATGCAGATTTAAGACTTGAGGAGAGAGCTCTTGCACGCTGAAGTGATTTTCCATGAAAGAGTAACAGAGTGGCCTTTTTTTTTTTTTTCTTTTTTTTCTTTTGGACTGTATTTTGTGATCCATAACTTTTCTGAGCAACTGCATTATCAGGTAAAAGTGAAGCACATTCTATGTCTGATTTGAATTCGTCACATTGGAGCGTATTTGTGTGAGTGTTAATGAGGCAGTGACCTGTGCTATCTGATGAACACAGCTGTCCTGTTCTCGCTGCTGCTCTGTCAAAAGCCACTCTTTACCTGTGTATGCATGTGTGTGTGCGCACGTCGGCGTGCGCGGCGAGTTCGTGTGTGCGTGCGCCACCCTCGTTCCGCTCCAGTGAAGCGGAAGGCCTCACCTCAGCGCTCCCTGAGACAGCTGCACCCCACCACGTGGCCTCAGACAACACGCCTGCCCATCACTCTGTTCCATATTTCTGATTTTTTTTTTTTTTGGTTGTTTTTCCTGTGTGCATTAACTTGTTGAATTTTCTCATCTGCACACTCGGTCGCTCCGTCTTTGCGAGGCGCCGGAAGTCGAAGTTTCCCCCTGGCGCGGCCACCTTGGCCGAGGCGGGCCCGTCTCCTGCGAACAGCTTTCCCACACCGAGCATGTGTTGTGGTCGCTCGTTGGCAGTATTCCCCCGACGCCCAATGGCTCAGGTGTGAGGGCAGCATTAACGAACAACAAATTAGAACAGGGGGGGGAGGGAGGGAGGGAGGGAAAACAACAGCAATATCTCCGCTTTCCTCTCCAGCGAGCACTCTTTCTGGACAGGAAAATAGGTCAGGTGAGAGCAGAGCGGTTGGGGAGGGGGGGTGCTAGCTAGTTTTAAAGTGGGGGGACTGAAGGGGAATAAGGAGAGGAGGGGTTTGTGCGTTTGCTCATTTAGTACCAATATATTCTTGGCAATTGTAATAATCCGGGATTCATAAACAAACAAACAACTGTGAGGCTGAAACTGACTCAATTACCATGAGTTCCCCTCCTTCAAATTCATAAAGAAATACCATCAGCAGCCCCTCTCCACCCTTGAAGTTATTTAGTTCGTTAAATAAGGGCTCGTTAGCCCTCTGCTGTTTCGCAGAGATGATTAGATTTTACAGCCCTAATTAGCTGGGCTAGCTCTAACTCTTCTGGAAGAGTAATGGGTCTGATTGCCTAATTAGCTCTCTCTCGTTAAGATGGGAGAAACAGGCCACTGCAGCAAAACCGCAGGAATGAGGAAAAATAAAGTCAGCTAATGAGAAACTTATTTGATTGTTAGGAGAACAAATCTGGTACAGTGTGGATCGGCAGCGCTCTGGGTACTGTACGCGCTCACCGGGAGAATCGCGTTCACCCCTTCTCTTTATCTCGCCTCCTGTTGAAAAGAGAATTTGTTTGTGCTTTAAAGCATCTGCAAGGAGCAATATGACTCCGTTTTTAATTATGAAGCATATTTGTTTAGGCTATGATAGCAAAAAGCGCTTGAACACTTCTTAGATTTTTTTTTTTTTTACTGAAGCGGAGAGAGACGCCCGACCGCAATCTGTCCCTGGTTGTGTGGCTGTTTTCGTTTAGGACCGTTGCGGTTGCAGCATCGTTCAGTTTTTAGAAGTCGTGCTGTCATCTCCAGCAGCCGTCTCTGATCTGAAACAGTCAGCAACAGACATGAAGACAACCCGCGCCCGTTTTATGAATTTAACCTCTGAGGTGGCGAGCTCTCGGAAATTCAGACAGACCTTGGCATGACATGTTGTGTATGCGCTTGACACTGGGCAGGCGAAGCAGCTGAAAGGTGAGACGCTCCTGTGCGTCTCTTCCCCAGGGAAACATGTGTGGTCCACTTTAGCCTCTTACAGAGACAGGATAATATGAGGGGAGCCCTTAACCCCCCAACCTCCACTTCCACTTCTCTCCATCGCTCCTGGTTAGCGTGGGGTTAATCATATGCAGCCACTGCATATGATCAGTCTATCATGTGCACTGGATGGGTTTCAAATCGCAAACACATTTCCCTCCCACCCTTGCACACCTTTGCTTTCTCTCTGCATAGCTTATCTCCAAATTTGTCTCCCCGCAGACCTAGTTTTGTTCCTTTACTTGGTGCATCCATGTAACTGTGGACAAATCTGTGAACCCAACTCGCGTCCGGGATATGACTGTCCCTCCAGCGTCATGTGTCCTCTCCTGCCTCCTACCACCTGTGTCCCGTGGCCCCTTCCTGCTCGTCCAGCTCCCACAGGCCTGCCGCAGGGTGTCCCCCAGGCAGGGAGAGCCTCTCTGGAGGGGGGGATAGACACACTCTGCAACCAGAGATAAGAATCCACCGGTTAGCCATGCATAGCCCATGATCCCCCTTTCCACTCGCAGCTCTATAGGAGGGGCGACGGGGTGTCAAGTTTACATGCACAGACAATGTTATTTCAGGTTTATTGCTGTTTTTGAGTGTGTGTGTGTGTTTGCATTTGCACACACTCCTGCAGCCCGCTGTTGATGTGGCTCATTTCCTTGCATGCGCGTCTGTGCTTGTGTATCCGCATCGATGTTGGTTATTTCCCCGGGAGTGTGTGTGTGTTGATAGAGGCCATTTCCTGACGAGTGTGTGTGTGTCTTGAGTGAAGAATGTCGGGCAGGAAGTGCTCCTCCCGGGGAGGGTGATGTCATGGCCGACGGTTTCCTGTTCTCTGAGCGAGTGGAACGGACTGAGTCTCAGCTTTACGGTGGGTAGTTTGCACTCGTGAACCAGGTTTTGGTTCACTTTCGGATGCGTCGGGCCGGCACCTGGGGCCCTGATCCGTAAAGTGAGTTTACCAAATAAGCCAGGCTTAGTTCAGTTAGTCTGACTTACTTTCAGGTTATTTCAGTCCCGTAAACTAAATTCAACATAGTTCAACTGCAGTTGTGACTGAAAACTAACTTTGTCCAGGGCAGGCTAAATGTTAGTTTAAGTCTGAGTTGCTGTTTAGCCAGAGTTCCTGCAAAACTGACCCACTGGGAAAGCTGAGATTTTACCACTGACTTGCTGTTATTCTGCCATATTATTTGGCTTTATTAACTAGCATCAGTTTAAAAAAAAAAACAAGAAAATCAAGATAAATTAATAAATCACACTATGATAAACAACAAGTTATGTTGTATGTGATATTAAAAGTTTAGGTTTATGCTACATGAAATTGATAACAGACATGTAAATAGTTAAGAGTACGACTGCAACATGTAAATTCTTACGGCTTTGACCTTTATTTTGCTGATATATGTATTTTTAAATGTGTCTTTTAATGTATTTAAAATGATCATGTCAGAAAGGTAAACTTAGATGTGGATAGTTGGGGAGTGTTTGTTTTATGAATTAGTAAAGAAAAAGAAAAACTTAAACTTTGTCAGTTGTGGAGCATCGTTTTACTTGGTGACTTGATAGATGAGGGAATTGTCATTGAAGCTGTGCAGGACATTTCTTGTTTAACAGGGACTCAATCGATCAGCAGTTTCTTGCAGCTTTTCTGTCTAGTTGCATATTTGGCAGCTGTATTGGTTATTAGATATTTAAAATTCTTCATATGTTTCCAACAGTAAGTACCACTCTCTCTTTTATTACTTAATTATCGCCACTACTTGAACCTGTATCAAATTAGCCTGATCGCGTGAACTTAAACTGAACGCTGGAAACACTTTAGCTCCAATTGATTTGTTCGTTTCATTCAAGTCAGGCGCTGGACTTTAATCCTCACCTTTCTTATCACGCTTTACGGAGCTGGCCCCCGGGTTAGACGTGTTACCGGATCACCGGACATGTTCGAAGGGAACGTATAAACTTTGTGTCGTGCCGCGTTCTGAGCACATTCTAATGTATTGCTTGTTTGTCACTGTCCCTCTCGAGCGGGGAACCCCCTCATTGTTTTGGTTGTTATGTTTGGATGCACTTCCTGGGGTGAGAGGTCATGTGTTGCCTTGGCTGGGCTAACGTGCACTAGTGAATAATGTATGTCATTGACTTTATGTCAGCCCTGCCAGCCCCCCAAGCAGAGCCCACCCATGTTTAATTCATCCATCTCATTTGTGTGTGTGTGTGTGTGTGTGTGTGTGTCTGTGTGTGTATGTGTGAGTGTGTGCGCGTGCGCCTGCGAAAATGTGTGTGCGCGTGTCATTTAGAGGCCCAGTCTGCACCTGTCCAGCCATTAGCCCCCTTCTCATTTGCATTTGATGCTAATGTGGTTTACTGGCAGCGCCTTCCGTCCCTTTAGCTTAGTTTCATTTTCATATCCATGA